GGGATCATACAGCTTAAAATTTTTTTATTGATCCTATAGCTCACAAGAATAAAACAGGAATTAGAAATAGAGAGAAGTGGCAAACAAAATCAATTCTTACCCTTTTCCCCCATTTACTAATTAAAGGTAATATTTATTGTCTACCCAATTATTTGAGAAAACACTCAAGTCAACCTTGATTATTTTACCTTTCCCTCACCCTCCATATCTAATCTCCCACCATATTTTGTGCTGTGCACTTTCAAAATGTAATTTGAATTTGACTTCCACATATCTACTGCTTCATCATCATCTTTATCATCTTTCACCCATATTACAGTGATAGTCCCTTAGCTTTGGCTCCCCCTCCCCCTCTTAATAGACTACTTTTTGAATAGTTTTAGATTTGCAAAAAAATTAATAAGATGATACATAGCTCCAAATTCTCCTTTACCCAGTTTCCCCTATTATTAATATACTAGAGGCCCCATTGCATGAAGAGATTCGTGCAATAGGATTTCCTTCCCTTGGCTTCCACCACCAGCTTTACTCTACTCAAGGCTACAAAGTTTCAATTATAGAGGGTAAACAAATTCCAACAGAAATAGCGGCAGCCATAGAGCAAGCAGAAGGCTTGGCTCTGCTCCAGGCTACATATAATTTCAAAGGCAAGAAGCAGGGAGAGAGTAGAAAAAGGGCCTTAATCCTAAATCACCTCTTTTTTCCACAGATAAATACCTTTCCGAAAAGTATCCCCAGCAGACTCCCCTCTGCCTTTTACTGCTCAAAGGTGGCTTACATGCCTGCCCTTGAACCAATCATACACAGAGGAGAAAAGGAGGATAGCATTGCCATAATGAGTTTAACCTACTGATGATTTGTTCCTGAGTGGCCACATTTTAGCACCCTTCAAAAATTGGTATTCTGTTATTAGGAAAAACCATTAAGTAGGCAACAAATAATGTCTGCCACAATTATTGACTCTTTTAAAATGAGTCATGAACAAATGAGGAATGACAATTCTGATGAGAGTGAAGGAGTGATTGGTGACCTAAGAGGGATTTCATCTAGGTTGGCCACTCTTCTTCAAAGAAACCATAATTAAGCTGATATGTGGAGAAAGTCTGAGGAGTTAAATAGGCAAAAGGGTTAAGGGATTCTAGAGTGGGGGAGGGGGCTGAGGATTGACGTGAGTCTTGATGGTTGAATCAAAGTTTGTCAGTGATGAGCTGGGGAAGACTGAGGATGCAGGCTGTGAACTAAGATAGGAATAGTTTGGTTTGGTGAGAGTAAAGGCCACAGTGTGGATTAGAGATGGAAAAGCAAGGCAGTCACGGTGCACCATGCACCAGAACGTGAACTTGATGTCCCTACGTCAGTAGCTTTCAAACATTTTGTCTGTGGCCCATAGTAAAACAAAAAAAACAAAAAAACAAAAAAAAACTACATACCTTTTTTTCATGATGCTTTATTATCAAGCCTTGCCGCCCTGGAATTTGCAGTGGCTGGGCAAGAGGACAGGTTGGGACACAATATAGCTAATTATTATAAAAGTTATAAATTAAGGCAATAAACTAGGTGTGAACAGAGAATATACCTACCTACCTTGACAAACATATCTCAAACAAAAAACAGTGAAGTCTGTGTGTGAAACCAAATAACTGAGAATAGTGCAAATTTGAAATTACTTTTGTTTTCCACCAACATGCTGTTATTAACTCTGGAGAAATGAAGGGATAATAGCAACAAGGCCAAGAGGAAGGCCCCCTCTGCCTTCTCTTCCAATGGTTATGCAGTCTGTAAAAGAAACCCTTCTTTCCTTTCTTCTTGTTTGGGGAGAAGCTTTTAGTCCTCCTCCCCTGTCCTCACTGGCCAGGCACCTGGATTTCAAGGCCGTCCAGACCATGCCCGTCTTGTCCACGGGGACTCTGATCCCTCGGTGCTGCAGGGCTCCACTATCACAGTCAGGTTTGCATTAAGAATTCTCTGAGAAGAAACACAGAAGAGTAGGGGAAGCATATTGCCCTGCTCTACCCTCTTTGTTCCCTCTTCCTTTTGCCCAAGGTCTAAGCTTCCTCCTTCAAGTCATAGCCTTTGGCTACCCCTTGGGCTGGAGGTACATACACACACTGGCAGCGTACTTGACCTGAATTGAGGCTGAGGAAGCTGGCTCAGAGCCATTTGGGTAGGGAATACTGGGGACCTCAGTACTTGGTTGCCTGGGGAGAGGGGGACACAGCCAAACGAAAGCCAGAACAGAGGCTTTTTGCTCACTTGTAAGGATAATACTCCTTCGTACATACATGTGTAAACATGTGTTTGCACACACACATATTCACATACATGTACCTAAAAGTTGTACAAAATTACATATATTCTCAAAATATGAAGTGCATTTTGTCTTCTTTATTATTCTATTTCAGTTAAAAAAAACCAAACTGGTTGTAATACACTAAATTGATTTTGTAATCTACTAATGGGTTCAGCTGTGACCCAATTTTGAAAACTCTGCTTTAGTTGTTGGGGTGGTAGTAATGTGATAGATGATGTTTTGGAAACATCTGGCAGCTGATTAGATGATGGATTGAAAAGGAGTGAGGATCTGGTTATGAGGTTATTGTGTCAAAGATAGGCCTAACAATGCTTAGTGTGAGGACAGAGAGGAAGGGAAGGCAGTAGAAGCAACAACAGGTCTCGGTAGCTAATTAGATAATGAGATGCAGAAGAAAACTAGAACACCATCATGATTTCTAACTTAACTGATAGGGAAACTAGCAGGATAATTATATTTGAGGGGAAAGAAAGTGAGTTTAGCTTAGTACCTGTGGCACTTGACGTTGAGTGTTGTGTGCTAGTTTGGAGAGAGGTTTGGAAAAGCAGGGACTATAACAGGGCCTTTGTATAATATTTAGCGCTAGGAAGACACTGATAATCATTAGCAAGGCAGATCACTTCGTTGGGAAGTCAGGAAAGGAAGACATACAATATAGGATATATCGATAGTTCATCCTTTCAATAAACTTGATAGTAAAATCAGTAAGAAGGAAGGAGGAGCCCTAGCCAGTTTGGCTCAGTGGATAGAGCATCGGCCTATGGACTGAAGGGTCTCAGGTTTGATTCCAGCCAGGGGCACATGCCGGGGTTGGGGGCTCGATCCCCAGTGGGGGGCGTGCAGGAGGCAGCCAATCGGTGATTCTCTCTCCTCATTGGTGATTCTATCTTTCCTTCTCCCTTCCTCTCTGAAATCAATAAAGAAAATGTTTAAAAAAAAAAAAAAAAGAAAAGAAAAGAAAAGAAAAAGAAGGAGGGAGGATGAGAACATGGAACAGATTTAAAGGCAGGCTTTTATTCAATTTTGAAGCACTTCTAAGAAGAAGAGAGAAGAAACCTGTGGAAACCAAGAAACTGAAGATATGACAGAGCGAGGAGGAATTGATATGGTCTAGTTTCAGGGAGATGAGAGAATGCACTTTAGGACATAAGTAGAAGGGAACCTTAGACAGAAGGAAGAACATATAGGTAAGGAGATAGGATGTTTTTCTCAACAGCTCTCTGTTGAGTACAAGCAGCAGGCACTATATAGGTGTTGTGGCTACAAAGGTTCACAGGCATGATCTAGTGGGAAAGATAAGATAGGCCAGGAAATGAGCTGGACAACAGTGGTCAGTGTCAGCTAGAGTTATGCTCAGAATGTGGAAACAAAGAGGCCTGAGCAAGACTTTCCAGAGTAGAGAAAAAAATGAAAATGACTTGCTCCTGAACACATGTGAGGGGCATCTAAGAGAAGGACTGAGATGTGGACTCGGGGGCCCAGGATTGAGGAAAAATGTGGACCTGGGTTACAGTGGTGATGACAAACATGGTGATGATGATAATTGGTTTATTCTCAGTTACTGACTTTAAGCAGCAGGTGAAACTTTATTTGGGAGTATTTGAGAAAATAAATTTTTGTAACAAAAGAAGCCACTTCTTGCTTATCTTCTGCCTCTCCACCTTTTGTTGATGTCTCTTTATGCTAATTTAGGTTAAAAAAATAAAATAAAAGCCACCGCTTTCAAAAGGGTTGTGGTACCCTGGCATAATTTCAAAGAAATCTCTTTCCCCATTTAGTTAACTACATTTCCCCAGGAAAAAAAAATCTTCTCTGTCAGCGTAACATCCTTTAACAGGACTCCTGCTGGCCGGTCCTTGTATCTTGGGGTGGCAGCTGTGAACGTATATACTACTGATTGTTAATGTGTGATATAGACCTGACTGGAGCATGCCCACTAATTGGTTTGAGAGCTAGATATAGACAATGCTGTCTTAGAGGAGCTTGTGTAGATAGGCCTAGTCTCGGGGTTAATTCTGCTTGACAGCACATCAGCAGCATCTCGAGAGTAATTACCTCACAGAAGTTTTCCCACAGCCGAACCGAGAGCTTCAAAGGCTTCTGAATTTACAACCAGTATTAACCTATATCTGAAACATAATGTTCCCACAAGGGCTTGGATTCTTTCTCTCCTACTTATTAAACATATGGGGTTACTAGGTTCATTTACTCTGTGAAGAACTCTGAAAAATTATACTTGGTGTTAAATAATTAAAAATCTTTAATAATAGGTCAAGAGGATAGTTTCAAATTTGTGGGTTTTTAAAAATTGCTTTATTATATTACTGAAAAAGTTAATCTGTAGAGACTGGGTGCTTTTTAATATATATATATATATATATATATATATATATATATATATATATATATAAAATTTACCTTCTTTCTCTCAAAAACAAATGAGAAGTTAATATCTTTTCCATGCTGTGCTATCTCTTTGGATAGCTGCATGTTTAGGGGACCTAAGGTAATGCATGCATTTAAAATGGCTAAAATAAATACCTATTTACATTTTTAGAGCTATTTTACTTGTTGACCACTGTACTGAAATCTGTAACTGTTGCATCTACCCCTTGCCCTCCTCATAAAGTAATAGTTATTCTTTAATAATCGATTTTTATATTGTAAAAAATGTCTTTTCCCTTTGCAGGTCAGAAACCAAATTTGACTCTGGTTCAGGTATGTTTACATTAATAATGTTATTCTGAGTATATTTTATTTACGGTACATTATTCTCTGAGGAGTAATTCATCAGATCAAGAACCATTTTGATTTTAAACAGACGAGGCAGTCTCTTTTCAAAACATGAACCCCACCTCAAAGCAGGGCTCTGAGCTGCTTGGAATCCTCACTTGAGATGTTCACTATGGGATTCCTGATAGTTCTGCAAGAAGCATTAATGCTCTCTAACTGCAGCTTTATTTTAAAAGCAGAAGTGGGGTCGTGCAAAATCATTGCTCAAAATAGAGTTAGTCTCTCAGTGGACAAAGCATCCTGAATAATTTGAAGATTCTCTGCAAGTGTCTTGTTATCAAAAGTGGGTAATATTTACATCTAACCCAGTAAACTATAAAGAGTTTAGTCAAAAGAAATAGATATTTGTCTATGACTTATTAGTCATTTTTTAGTTTTGTTGGAGGGTGGGTAATAGAAAACTAATAGAAAACTTAAGGTCACCTTAAGCCATTATTTTGTATCTATCAAAACAAAATTTGTATTCTCACAAACAGTGGCATACTTCTGGTGTTTTCTTCTTATTAAGCACAAATGTAGCCATATAATCCTTATTACGTTTGTGTCTTTATCACTTGCTAAGGTCTGTGAGCCTTGGAGTTTTTTATGATGTTTACAATTAAGCACAAAAATGGCCTACTGTATAGTACAAGGAAATTATGTTCTTTAGTGAACTGTTAATAGATAAATAAACATTAACTTTCTATTCCAGGAGAAGTAATTTGCAGAAGAATATATAACTTAGTAAATAAAAATAACATTACTACTTTTTTTAAATAAAAGTTTTTCTTTATTATGTCCACAAAAGAACCAAGACTATATAGATGATAATGGTGACAAGGAGCCAACATGCTCATTTTTTTTTCAAAAGCTCATTCTTCCTTTTATTGTATAAATGTAAAATCCCCAATTTGGTGAAACTCTTTAAATATAAACTCTGGACATTTGAGTTAACAATTTCACCTAATTTGGTAACTGTGATTCCAGAAATCTTTCCATCTGTGTGTTCTTGGGCTTTTGAGTCACGTGTGACATTGATAGTATAAGACAAGCATTTCTGGTTTACAGTATTGACTTATAAGGAGATTAAAGACATAGTGAGTTATATCAACTATTTGATGTTTTTTATGGATTTATAAGAGGTGATTCAAAATAGGGTGAAAAATCTTTGTCATTTTTATTAAGTAAAATCTTTAAGCCTGGATAGTGTGTCTCCCTGGTTGAGCATTGACCTATAAACCAGTAGGTCACGGTTTCATTCCCAGTCAGGGCACATGCCCTGGTTGTGGGCTCAATCCCCTTTACGGGCCGCCATGCAGGAGGCAGCCAATCACTGATTCTCTGTCACCATTGATGTTTCTATTTCTCTCTCCCTCTCCCTTCCTCTCCAAAACCAATAAAAATATATTTAAAAGTATAATAAAAATAAATGAATAAAATTGATGAAAAATGAATTTTTACATAAAACTGCATATCTTTTTATCATTGATTGTCAATCAGTCACCAAAAATATTTATTAAGAACCCACTGGGTGTTATAATCTGATTTAATTCCCTAAATATCAAGTCAGAAACTGGTTTTAAGCTCCAGGATCTGGAATATAGCTTTTAAAAATGAAAAAGTCCACCAGGTTCATTTTGAAGGTAAAACCTGGAAATGGCATACAAAACTGAAATATTAGGCAGCTATTGTCAAAGTCAGAAAATTTATGTTAAATTTTCAAATCCAAATTTAAGTGTGCTGCTAAATTCTTGTAGTGAAGGTTGGTATTTATTCTGAAAATAGTTATAACATCTGTACAGACACACATCTTCCACTCTTATGACCAAAGATTTTGTTCATGAGTATTATTTTTTCAAGTCCTACTTTTTTTTAAACTATCTATCATGGACAACATCTGCATGTCTTTGAAAACTTATAAAGTCCTGTACTCTGAAAAATCTTTTGGGAAATACTGATTAAAAGTTTATTTGTGTGTGTGTTTTAATTTTAAATACATTTTTGGAAAGAATTTAGATGGTTTCAAATAAACAGATTTTTTTTTTTCTTATAAACTCTTTTAGCTAACTATAAATGAGGGAATCATGACAAAGAAAATTAGAAATGCAGTCTTTGGCATTCTATATCATGCAAATTTTGGTTAGAAATAAGGTAGCATATTGGAACAATTAAATGTATGAGTTTAATAGGTTCAGAATCTCTATTGTTCATCAAATACAGAAAGTAAACTAACTCTGTTTAATGTTATATACAGCTGTAACAATGTTCCTGACAAAGATTTTTAAATGAAGGAATATGCCATCTTACTAAGGGAAAAATCCCTTAAAAACAAATCTATGGTCAATAACTAGCCATAAAGTGTTTCAAAGTAAAATTATACACACATAAAAAACATTTTTTCTTTTCAAGAATCCAACTTATGCAGTGCTTACGCCATATTTGCAGTTTGTGTAAAAAAGTTTCAGGCAGTGGGGTCAGATTCAGGAGGAAGGAAGGAAAGTTTTCATTGTCTGGTGAAAAATGTCAGTTGTTGACTATACTAGTGTACCAAAATGGTCAACCTAGAGAATCATTTAATTTTTTCTTATTAAAATTGTGTCTTTTTTTTTTTTTCAAAAGCAACCCATGGATAATTTTTTTTTTTAATTTTCAAAAAAAATTTATAATGAAAAATATGAATTATAAAAGTAGCCATGGAATAGTATAATAAGCATGTTTATCCCTCATTGAGATTTTACTATTTTAAATGATTTGCCATATTTGTTTCACTTTTCTTTTTTCTTGAAATATTTAAAAGTAAAATACATACATTTCATGTTGTTTTTAAAACCTGGAAATTATAGATTGTTTTGACTTATTGAAAGAGACCTATTCATTTTTTGAGATTTTTTATCTCCAAAATTTGGGTCACGTACAAATTCTTATGGAAGGATTGTAGTATTACATGTCCACATTTTGTTAAAGAGATGTAAGTTTGCTCTGGCTGGTGTGTCTCACTTGGTTGGGTGGCATTCCATGCATCAAAAGATTGCTGGTTCAGTTTCTGAGCAGGGCACCTTTTGGTGTATGGGATGCTGATCAATGTTTTGCTCTCACATCAATGTTTCTCTCTAAAAAAAAAAATTAATAAAAATATTTAATAAACAAACAAACAAACAAATAAATAGAGGAAAGTTCTATTTGTGGTGAAGTTTAAGAAAGCCTCAACCTGCCCTAACTGGTTTGGCTCAGTGGATAGAGCGTTGGCCTGCAGACTCAAGGGTTCCAGGTTTGATTCTGGTCAAGGGCATGTACCTTGGTTGCGGGAACATCTCCAGTAGGGGGTGTGCAGGAGGCAGCTGATCGATGTTTCTTTCATTGATGTTTCTAACTATCCCTCTCCCTTCCTCTCTGTAAAATAAATAAATAAATAAATAAATAAATAAATAAATAAATAAATATATTTTAAAACAGAGAGAGAGAAAGAGAGAGAGAGAGAGAGAGAGAGAGAGAGAGAGAGAGAGAGCGCGAGCGCGAGCGCCTCAACCAAAAAGCAGAAAAGCAGAAGTGCTATGAGAGAAAACCCAAAGAATGTTCTATTCTTGATTAACTTGATTTAAACCTTAACTGCCTTCTAGCTGAGTCCTCCACATCCTGAGTTGTATACTGATTGAATTCCATTTCTGTTGGTTTAGTATAACTGATTCGTGTCTAAAGATTTTGTCTTCGCCAGTTGAGAGCAATCTCTCTAAAGGACTTTTTAAAAGGTTCCCAGTTGATCTATTAGTGTTGCTTGCCTATGAGTGTGTAGTTGGTGATTTTACTAATAGAGTAAAACAGACTTCCTTTTATGTCCAGAAGTAGCAAGAAGCTGTCCTCTTCTCTCCACCTCCCAAGAAGGGAAGTTATTTGATGCTGGAGGAAGCAGAACATTGAGTTTAATGTAGTGATTAAACAAGAAAGCCATATATCAAATCTCAGGAGAAACATGATTTTGAGAGAAGCAGAGAACTGTGATGCATATTGCATGATAGGCTATGTAAACAGAACTCTGGAGGTCAGTGTGTGGATGCAAACCAATTAAATAAAGAACTTACTGGCTTTGCTTCCTGTCATTTGGTTGGGGAGGATCACAAGTTAACTTGCTCAGGGTTGAAGTGTAAACTTTGCTTGAATAAGCTAGGCACCTTTGGAAATTTCATTAACTCTTTCAATTCACTAACAAGTTTCTTAAAAAAAAAAAAATTAACTGAAGTCCCTAGGAAGTTAAAAACAAAAAACACACCCATCAGCAAAGACGCTGGTGATGAGTAGAATGGAAGAGAAAGCAGAGGATGAACTGCTGAAAAGACCAGAGTCGGGTGTGTAGTCAGATTTCAAGAACATGCATATGTCTTTGAAAAACAACCCATTTGGAAAAGCAGAACTCCTGCAGAATAACTGAAAAAAGATGTTTTTCTCTCCTGAATTCTGAAAGATATAGTTGGAATTTACTAGTCACTACATAACATCAGGATATTGTTATTTCTGTTCTGTTAAAATAGAATAGCTTTCTGACCAAGAAAAACCTGGAGCCTATAACTGTATATTCAAGTTAACCCAGTGTCTGATTCTGTGGTCCCAACCTTCTCAGGCAATGTTTGGATGAGAAAATGAAATACCAAGTTAAATGGTATAGTTTCATGGTCCATAAACATTCAAAACAAAGACTCCTTCCCTCACCCCCCACAAACCCACCTCAAGGCAACATGACTCTACAGAGTATGTTGGCGACATACGTAGTACAGACTAGGGTCATGTTGGCTGGGAAAGTGAATAAGCTTGTTTAGTGCTGTTGATTCTGGGCTGCTTGCAATAGGTATGCTAAGGAAATGGACTCATAGAACATACCAACGGGAAGGTATAAAATTTAATGAAAGCAAATTATGGAGGATTAAGAAACCTAATGAGCATGGTTTAGTGTGGAA